TTTGAATATTACATGTTAATAACTTGATTGGAATTATAACCTTGAGTTGACAGTTTGATACTTTGAAAATTTTGAGCCAGCCCTACCCCCAAGGGCTGTAGGGTGGGGCTCAAGGGAGTCAGTGTGCTAAAATTTCTTCATTTTCCTTGTTTAGAATCAGAGGTGCTAGTTTCAAATCCTTTTTAGTCTGAAATCTGTATGCTTGATATTGAATAAGGTGGTTTTATTGTTTTTTGTCACTTTGAATAATATTTCTGTTCATGTTAAAAACGAAATCAACTCTCTGTATAAATATATCAGGTGACCGTTAAGGCCCATGGGCCTCTTGTTTTATTTGTCCTGGCAGGTTATTCAAATCTCTTGTTGTCTCAGAAAAAAGGACTGATAGAAAACTGATTTTTTAGTAGCTATGGGAAGGATTGTGTTCATATTTCTAAAACAATAGTTCGATGGTTTTGAAATGTATGTGTTGGAGATATGGAGGACAGATATTGTGGAAAAGTAGGAACAAGTCCCGTTAATATCTATGTGTGTTCTGTCTGAATCAAACCTATACTTTCTTTTTTCACATCAAGAATGGCATCGTCCGATAATACTTGAGTGGGTTGCAAGCATCTGATCGTTTCAATAAACTGTCTCATAGTCAAACGTAAATCCGGATCGAGATAAAGTCTGTTTGTATGGAAGGGGATCACCGCCATAATTATTTTTTATAGAATTCGTTACTTCTGGTTTGGAATCTAATTCTATGTACATTTGTATTATTTCCCTAGTTGATAAGTTATAAAATTAGTTACTTCTGGTGTTGAATCTAATTCTATGTTCATTTGTATTAATTCTATGTTCATTTGTATTAATTCCCTAGTTGATAAGTGTCTTTTTCCATGCTATGTACATTTGTGTTGTTGCACTCGTTTACAAATCTATTGCGTGTTCATTCCATGCTATGCTAGTTTTCATTCCATGCTATGCTAGTTTTACCGATCGCGATTTCGTGTTAGCTTGTAGTATTCAATCCATTCCAGACTTTCTATCGGTTGATCATTTTTGTAAAAACAGAAATTCGAAACAAAGTTTTAATTCAGAAATAGCTAGCTAGTCAACTAGTAAACGAGTAAGCCAGCAGTTGAAATACGTTAGGTTTCCTCATTATGACGACAAGCTGCGCTGCGATCGTCTTAAATATACACGGACCGCTCCCCAACCGCATCCGGATCACCGTACGGACGCAATGTCGTTATTTGTTTACGTTTTGACTATTGTATTTTTAAGGTTCTTAT